AAATAATTTTAAGCCAAGCGCGAGGCTTTGTAAGTCTCGAATTTGCAGTCCTTAGGTCATAGAACTTAATGCTTTCTGGAAGCCTGACTGCTCGTATTGCCACACGTACGAAAAAAACGTCACATTATTTATTTTGGTTAACGTTCCTCGCCGAATTACAAATGATGTCAAACGACTCACGATTAGACGAAAATGATTGTGAATACATGCAATGCACTCGTGAGGCTTTGCCGCAAAGAAGTCATACATATATAGTGGGTCACATATACACTCGGGTCGTTGACGTTCGAAAGATTGCAGGTTGTCAAAAATTTTACCGTGTCCGAGAGTAACTTTTTTCCACTTCGCATAATAATTAACAAAAAAATTAAATCTCGAACACCAGAATGATGATTAAGGTCACACCAAGAGGGTGTTTTCCTACTCTGTAGTACATGCATACACACACACACACATAGACATGGATAAATCCGTAATCTAATTAAGATTTTTCCTTTTCCGTCGTTTAAACAAAAAATTAGATATCACGCGCACAAATCACATTTATAACTTAGCAGCTCGTTGACATGAAACGTTCATATATATATATATATATATATATATATATATATATATATATATATAAATTTGATTGGTTTTTGATTGATTGGAAGATTTTAAATAATTAATTCTGTCGCAAAATCATGTTAAATTTATAATATTCATTCACGGAAAATATAACGAATTAAAATTGTGTGCATGTAGGATTGTGATCAAATATATTATTTAACTTGAACATATTTTGTTGATTATGTTATGTTAATTAAAAATCATGAGGCTTAAGATTTATTTTTTTTTTTTCATAAAAATTACCTATAACACAAACTAACATATGTTTTTGAAAGTTATCGTTAAAAAAACATATACACAGCGTTATAAAAATTGAAATTAAATAATAAATAAAAAAAAAAAAAATTTCAAATAAAAACATGCACAGTAATAACATAATGGTAGTATACTACTCATGCGATAAAATTACTAACTCCTTTTTACTACCTTTGATTTCCTTAACCAATTATATTATAAATTGAAAACAAAAATAATACTTCAACTATTTCACCACGCCAACGGCATTCAAAGAGATTCATTGATGCAATTAAATTTTTCCAACTCGAGGAACTGTTTTTCCGCTACCATCGACTATAATGACCAATTATTACTATTCGCCGTCAATACCCACCCGATAAACGTAGCCGTATAAATTATATTGTGTAAATCGTAAATTAGAATGCCATGTGCGTCGGATTTATTCAATATCGTGAAACATTATTTATAAAATATTGACTTTTACATCGAGAACAGTTACAATTAACCGACTATGAAAACCATGCGGGCAATAAAAACATTAATGTACCTCACTGTATACCACAAAATTGTATAGTAAATATCATAACGCCTTTTGCATGAGATTATAAAAAAACGAAATCAAATAATTTTGTTTTTTTCAGCCGTAACGCACATTTTTTATTTTTATACTTATTAAACATTTTATTTTTTAGAGCCTATTAATGTTACCTCAGAGATAACACGAAAAAGTTGGCTCTTTATAGTCTCCTAAAAATGTTTATTATTATTGTTATTATTAATATTTGTATTATATTAATATATTCAAACATTTGGTAATTCATTAGAAAAATACTATTAAAATTATATTTTATTTATTTATATTTATATTTTTTTCCGACAAAACATGAATAGATGTAATACAAATAATTTCTTATGTCATTTTTAGCTTTAAACTCTTTGAATTTTATATTTTATATTTTATATTCAAAAATATCTAAAAACTTTTTTTTTATAATATTTTTTAATATTATTCTTTATACTATATATCTTAAAAAAAATTGTCTTGGATTTCCATCATGGTATTGATTATACAAAAACAATTTGGATGGATTATATAAAACTGACTCGATAAAATGTTTTGGGTTTTTGGCCCATTTATTGCCCTAGGATCAGATGATGAACTTTCTGTCCACAGGTATGGCGGAAAAGAACTATTTTCTTAAAAGTTTCTTGAATTTAATCTATAAATGTTTCAGCTAAGTAAGATGCATCTGCAATTAGAGCTACAAAACCATTGCTTACCTCATTAGGCGATATACCGATTACGACCAAAAAAATTTTGAATTGTATACTTAGTATAAATTGACTCGAAGTTTAACTATGTGTGTTCAGTATTAATTTTACTTCACGCATTTATTTGATATCTACGGCTAAGACATTTTAATTAATTTAATTATTTTTCAATTGTTTTCAATTCTATTTGCCTTTTTGAGACTAACTTCTTTTATTTTTTCAATATTAAGCACGATTCACACTAGTCAGACACGTACCGTACCGTTCCGGAAAATATTTTAATATTTGTTTAAATACCGCAATTCACATTTAAATGTTTCTGTTCCGTTCATACACGTAGCGAACCAAGACAGAGTCCGTCCGACATTCCACGTGAGAATGTTTGTCGGGATGGCACGTGTCTGATCCAGTCTGAACAGATCTGTATGATAAGTGTGAATGAACAACAGACATAATATTATAATATCCGTTTGCTATCATTCACTGGAAAATTATTCGCAGACACATACTTTTGAAGTTCGTATATATTATACAAACTTCTCATTTTTTTCACTTATTTTAGAGTTATTGATTCAACTCATTAGAGACCAAGAATGTCTCTATGCATTGGTCACAAAAATGTTTAAACGTATTTCAAACACAAAATATAAAAAAAAGGTGAAAAAAGGGTAGCTTGTGTAGTCACTTTACGATTTTGTAGCGAAAATATAGGTATGGGAACAATAATAAGTATAGTATATTTGAACGGTACGGTACGGTGTCTGTCGGTACGTGTCTGACTAGTGTGAATCATACTTTAGGGTACCCTTTAATTGTTAGAGTAGCCAATTCTAACGGAGACGTATCAGCTCCTCGTCAGTATTCATAGAATATTTTTATTTTTCAAAAAATAAAAAATAACTACATTTTGACACACAATAATATTATATACTCAATGAATATACTCGTAATATCTAAAATTTATCAGCAACAATAATATTCCCCTTTATATTATACCTTTACATAATATTCAATAATAATAATTTGTTTTTAATAAAACAATCACATAATTCAATAGGTCTCTCTATATAATGTATGTACTAAAAAAATAATTAAATTCTCAATAATAAATCTCAGTATATATCTTAATATAATAATTCTTAATAATTTTCAATAATAACTATCAATATAATTCTAATAATTTTCATAATAATTCTTTTGATCGATTTGTACTATTGTTACGTGCCACCGGCTCGATTCCAAGTAGTGCAGTCGATGATGTATTTAAATTTAATTAATAATATATGAGACTTTAACTTTTATACATTTATTTTAATATTCAAAGTGTTTAACAAATTTTAACATAGAGTGACGTGAAGTTGCTTGCAGTTCCGTGACTAGAACTCATCTGAATTGTGATCATTTCGATCCCTCTTTTATATTGATCGATTGACGTCATAGCCTTGTTGTTTAGCAGTGTCCGTCGATAGGCCTCATTCCTAATATAGTATTTTAGGAATATAGATTAAGTATTAAGTTTTGGCGTACCTTCCAATTATTACTCGGCTGACGAGTTAAATATAACAATAAGCCGTCTTACGCAATATATATAATATTGTGTTGCACCTGTTTCTATGTATACATAATTAGGCCATACATGGTAGCCCATAACACTATTTATACGTTTATTAAATTAGTCATATTTATGTTAAAATAATGCTTGGTGACGACATTATTTGTTATTGGTTGTTTCAATGATTGTTTGAATTCGTCTACATAGAATTGAAAAAAAAAATGGCCTGTTCTTCCTCACAGTGATTCAGTTGAATTGTCCCCTTGAAGTCTGATCCGCAACGCCAAATTAATTAAGTATGCCGCCGGTTACTCGACAGTACCTCAGAAATATTAAGTACTAAATATTAAGACTAGGATAATTTCAATAAACATACTTGTTATGGTATTGTTGATAATTTATTTAACACATAGAAAATTCAACAAAGTTACAATTATGACGATAGCCAATGTACATAAGTAGAGCTTCCATACTAAATATCTGGATATGTCTGCCTTCGGTGTTGATTCAGAGCCTTTATACATGTTGGTGAATTGTCTTCTGTAGCTGACCCCATGCAAGTGTGAGATAGAACGTGACGTTTGTGCATTTTTCGTTCCGTTTTTTATTAGTTAATTTATAGTTAATTGTAAATTATTAACTGTCATAGATGACACATCAATAGAAAATACGTTCGCACGTGTACATTGTAGTTCTGAGAATCAATACTATATACACTTCATATATAACAATATATAATTTATTAATCTTTTTAATTCTGTAAAGCGCTACAAATACGTTTTCTCGTGTATATTATTAATTACATTATTTATTTATATTTATATTATTATTATTATATTATAATATAGCATATTACACATCATCAGATTTTTGTGTATTACATTATTGTTTTGTATTAGTAATATATGGCATATTACAAGATCTTAAAAAATAATTGATGTTTTTTGAATCTTCAATGTCCTTAACTCCAACTTAACTCAATTTTCCAATTATTTATTGAAAAACCAAATCTCCAAAAAATGTTTTAAAAATAGTCCATGATTATTATTTATTACAATAACTGCTCTCAATATTCACATACATCTTGTGGAACCTTTGAGATTGTCCCACGGAATACACTTTGAGAATGACCAGCTTACAGAATATTGACAATTTATTGTATACGTGATATATATATAATACCATTGATTATAGAATCCATTATATAATCAATAGTAATACTTATGTAATATAATAAGTAATAACGAGTATTCGATAGAAAAATAAAAATACACTGATTGTCCACCGCAATATCCACATCTAGTTATTAAAATATTGATTTGTGTTACAGATTCCAGTACGGACATACAAATAAGCTTGGAAAATCATAAACAAGTTTTTGAACGAGCCGTGCAAACGGAAGAAACCACAGCACCAGAATCGTAAATACAGAACATTTCCGCCATACATCATAATATATTAATCCATCGCCTCCATCGCTTTTAAACGCATGTACAGTGTGGTACGCAAAAATACTGAAATGACATAAATATAAAAAATACCGTTGTTTTTGCAACTGTTGTTCTTTCGTCTTCATAAAAACGAGCGCAAATGTTTCATGGTCGTGTAAATCCATAAATATTACATATGTACAGTACACGAGTGGTAACCGAAGAATCAAACATAAAAAAAATAAAATTATCATTACACATTTAAATAAATTTGAGAAGAGAAGATTTTACAAATCCAAGATATGACAACAAAATTAACGATCGAAAGCTTTCGTCGAAAATATTATTATATTTTTATGCATTTTGCAAAAGTAAATTTAATTAGTTCAACATCTATGACCCCAGAAAAAAAAAAGAAAATTGTCTAAAAATTATAATATGTACAGTAAAATCACGTTAATCCAGTATATTTCGAGCCCTCAGAATATCTATAATTTCTGAATTATAAAATAGTTAAGTGTAAAAATCGAATTTTTATACAAGTTATTCGTTATGAACATTCTATTTGGACGATTGAAAAACACATTTTCAATATATCTAGACCGTGAAAACAAACATAAGGCAATACATTTGCGTGCACGTTCTCACGTTCAGTCACTACTCCTACCCCAAAACCTGATATATATATATATATATGTATACACATATATACATGTATGATTATTGAAAATAAAATCTATCTGGAGTACTGCACGTTTCGGGTTATCGTGTACGGTCAGATCGACAAGATTTTACTGCAGATTGCATTATTATATATTGTACGAATTTGCTATAAGGAAATCCCAAACGATCAGGTAAATGGTGAGTGAACTAGGCGAAAATGATATAGATGCCTGATGTGCATGTGTGAAATGATCGACCATAGGTGCGTTATCCGACTATAATCCTAGCAAACCGACCGCGAGGATAAACGCGTAAAAATAATGTGTGATACCACTATGAAAATAATAAGCAGTAAATATAGATCGAACCTATAGGGGAGTAAAAAAAGTTTTAGTTATCAAGATTCATTTGTATTAAAATGTATTCATAAGGACCTGAAATATATACCTCGCTCATACGATAGAAACTATACTTACATGCGATATCGTTAAAAATTATTTTTATGATTTAAGACCGTTTCAAAAAAAAAAACGATTTATATAAATAAAATGTACATAGTTTTTGAGATATTTACGATTCACTTTACTTTTCAAGCCAACACTTTTCTGTTGGATAGAAAGTACTCGAAATGTTTCAAAATATTATACCCTTATAATACTCCTATAATATATATGGATTGAAAATCTATCCAACAGAAAATAGTAGGTACGTTAAATCTATAATACATTAATGGTTTTTTATTTTGAAACCCTGTTCAACGTATAATGCTCCAACCCTCGGTGTTATCATGATTAGTTACATAATTTTAATATAATTTGAAACAATATTAACACTACCATGGTTGATTTCGTATATAAATTAACTAAAAATTTATTTGAATCTTAAAAGAATGAAACGTATTTTATGTATTGTTATATTAGCATCCAACGGGCTTCCGGAAAAAGGTACGGTCCCGGTTTTTCGCCAGCATATAGTCCACCAATGATTATCAAAAACAATCATTTTGATTGTACCCCTCCGTTCTCTGTACAGTGTTTCGAGCGAAATGATTTATCACACAGCTTTTAAATTTAAAACCGTACAATAAGTAACAGTATTCCAACTGACGTGCGGTAGCCAGTAAATCGAGAGTAGTAAATCCAAACCCGGGCCAATGAATATGATAAACATTTTAAATTTACCGAGAATCCTACAAGAAACAGATCTTTACGGAAAACTAAAAAAAAATGATTACCAACCGTATTCCGTAATACGGTTTCATGCACGACAAAGCGTCACGTTCATTCAGACAATTTATTTATTCAAAACCAAAAATCCGAAATACGTGTATAAGAATATACTCGTAATAATGTACGCGTCCATGTATATGTATATTTATTACGCATTGACCATGTTCCGATAACGATTCGTAGTCGAGTAATTTACATTTCGCGCAAAAACCTATTTCTAAAATGACCGCATTAGGGTGGTTGTTGGTGCCCATGTCGGTAAAATGAGAACAAAACATCGCCCGTCGTCTACGAATATATTTTACGCTCCGTAAAATACATTCGACCGTTAATGGGAAATGGTTCACACAATCGGGTAGGCAACCACGTGCACTTTCACCATTTCTGAGTTATCATCGTTTCGCCTGTCTAGTAACTACCTACCCTGAATATGTACGTCACATCTATAACAAGGATGTGAATCGCTTAAACGGTCGGCGGGAAGAACATATATTTAGCCGTGACTAGAGGGATGTAGGAGATTTAAAATGTATGATCAAATAGAAATGTTTCGATTACTTACTAGAAGTTTCGATTACTTGACTCTTGTAAGAAAGGAATTCAACATATTCCGGAAGTGCTAAATACCAGGAATGTAATTTGAGTTTTTTCGACAGGACTGTAAATATACCGTCGGTATTGAGGGAAATGTTATAACACACTTTAAGTAACCTTTTCCGCCACCCCTTGGATTTAGTTTCTAAATTATTTATTTATGACTTTGATTTTTACGCTTTGGTTTCGAAACACGCGTTTGGAAAGCACTTAAATCTAATATCATCACGCTGTCGTTTCGACTATGAAATTATATTTGAAAAACTTACCGTGTCACATGAAACATGCTATGATCGTCAGAAACAACGTTTTGACATGGATTTAAAATGACTATAACTACGTTTTACACTTATACATATACAGTACTCCGGTACACATTTTAGGAGATATGCGAAAAGATTTGATGATATGAGCCGTCCGTCGTGCATTGCTAATTTTTGGTTAGATAAATAATTAGAACTTCGAGGAATATTTCGTACATACACCGATGCTTCAACTTCTCTTCGTATATTATATGCATATTCTGATACGCGTTTTCTCTATGCGAAAATAATCTACCCCCGAGATAATTCCAAGGGCCTTCAGTCAACTTGGCCCGGAAAAGTTATAAATCCTAGTCTTACGCATAATCAACTCTTTTCAGAGTCCTTAAAATTCCTCACATGAACTACAATAACAATTGCTCAGGTAAATATTATCAGATATGTCAAAAGGTAAACCTACATTTCTTTCAAAATGCTATTAGTTTTTAGAAATTTCTGTGATCCTGTGAAGAGCCCTCCTAGTGTGCCCTCCTGCCCTTCTCGATTTCTTTCAATCCTCTCTCTCTTCCTTCCGTTTTCTTTATTTCTTTGCACGTTTCCGACTTTGGCGCCACACACGCCACCGCCACCACAGCAATTTACCACAACGCTTTACGTCGGCCTAACAGTTATTTATACGCATAACAGCGCACGACTCGAATCTACGGCGACATATTTAATTTACTATTACACGTTTTCTCCAACTCACTTAAGTATACAGATAAATATATAAATATAAGTCATAGGGTATATGAATGGTAATGCCATTACTGTGCGGAGCACTCGCGTTTTTCCGTGTTCGGTGGAATGGAAAATTAATAATGCAGCCGCGTGGTGGTACTTATGAGCATTAAACGGTTGTGCGTAAATCGTTTTCCCAGCGCGAAAAACTGTATCTCGGTCGAATCAAGCTTTCAAAAATGTATTACTCGGCATTAGAACGATGACGCGTTCGTTATTTGAACACTGAGAACGCGTGGCTCTATAATGTATAGGATCTTCCAGAAAATCCAGTAAATTCATGAAAACTCTCTCAGATGTAACAACGTCTACTAACATAGTTTATTATTGAAACCTCAATCTACAGTATACTCGTGATATATCATTAAGAGTCTAAAGATTAAAAATATCATGTCATAAAATTAACGTCGGTAATATGGTGGTACGATTCCTGAAATCAAACGCTAACATTCTACACGACTACTTAACCGTCAATTCTGTAGTTCAAATTGTTCAAGTACCAAAATTATCAGACCACCGATCGCGATCGCAGTAAATAGAAAAAAAAATTAATGTAATTGATAACTGGAGATTTTTCCCTAACGTGCTAGGTATCGACGATATAACGATTTTATTGTTTTCATATTTCCGGCGAATCTTTTCCTACTTAAAATATACTTCGAACGCGTTTTGCAAATCTCGCACATGGTTAGGCCGTTGATCGGCACATCAACGTTCAAATTAATACCTACAAAATACGTGTTCGTAGGTGGTATCGAAGAATAGCCGTCCCCGCCCCTTTCCTCCGCGCATTTAAAGGATATATTAAACTGCTACTACTTCAAAACATCCGAGGCTGTGCGTCATAAATATGCAGGTGTATTATTATGCGGACACACGAATTTTTCGATTTCCATCGTTCCCGCAGAGAATTATGTTCGTTTGTGCGATTATTAATAACTTTTTTGGCACTATTTTCACATTCGGCGTGATATAAACTATAATTAACAATTTTATTATAGCTGTATACTTTTGCTCGGCTTAACCCGCTAACAGACCATTGCTTATGGATTTATGATAATTATTACAGAAAAGCTCACCACAAGGTGCATGTTTTGTATGAAATATGAATAGGTATTTAGTTTTCATTTTTATATTCAGTTCGAGATCCGTTTTTCCATCGGTCTAAACGAGTTTTAATTTTAAAATTATCCAGTTGTTTCGTTTCTAATCATTCTGAGTGGTATTTAATAACTTATTTTTTTTGGTTCTTTAGATTGTATTTAAATCTATATACTTAAGTGTTAACGTTACTTCATCATTACAAACAGCTTAAAAATTAATCAATATCGATGATCGATTTTTAATCCAAACTTGACTTTTTAGGCTTGTCACTATTAATTTAATGCGGTTGTAAAATATAGAATCTGCAATTTTTTCAACGAACGTCTGCATATCATGTACATGTTTACATATTAAGTAGTATGATACATAAATAACAATCAACCTCTTTTAATATAAAACGGAACAATAAAGTAAGATTTACCATTAGATGTGATTAGTTTCAAATCGAATAATCTAAAAACAATAAAATGCGTGTAGCTTTCACTTTCATTGTTATTCTAATAAGAAAACTCACTTTAAAATACAATCGCCTTTTAAGTAAATAAATACAACAAACCACGATATCCGTATCGATAATACAGAAATAATAAATACACCACTAGTGGTGATATTGGGGATTTGAGTAAATGAGAAAAACAGTTCCACGTAATTTAAACCGGTAAATTATATCCGACAACAAATGATTCGTATCACTAGATCCGATGCAAAAATATCCTGTACTCATAATAACTTAGTTTAAAATATTCGCTAAATCAAAAATATAAGTAATAAAAATATTACGATAAAAGTATAAATTTTAATATAATTGTATGATAAAAATAATTGTTTTTCTATGATAAATATATATAATTATTAAAAATTAAAATTATGGGCAATACCTTTTAAATCATTTAATATATTACTTTTTTGATAATTTAATACAACATTTTCGATTTACTGGTTCAAATCCCTAAATTTTTTTTTATTTTCAATGCGTGGTTTCTCTTAAATTAAATGTTTCTATTTTATCTTCCACCAAGTTTTGTTTGGTTTTAAGAAAATTAATAAATTTCCATATTTTTGTAAGATAGTGTTCTATGAAAAAATTAAAGAAATTATGCCACCAACCCTCTAAATACTATTAATTGTATTTCATGCCAAATACACTGAAAAAAATAAAAATCCTATTAATTTTTGTATTGGGAACAATTTCTTTAAATAGTAAAATAAACTCTTACTCAAAATCAATTTGGATCAATATAGGTCTTACACTTCAACAATCTATTTAAGATTTCTGTATACATATCTATTGTTTCGTCAGTCATTAAAACATAGTCTAATGGTAAAATGAACTTTTTTCATGGCAATGAATTATATACAACTCTGTAAAAATAGATGCAATCAATTTAAAAGTTCCATCATTAAACTAATCATCAGATTTTTAAAGATCAATCAAATTATATTGAGTCAAAAATGTTAAAAATATATTTTCATATTTTCATCATCATAAGCTAAAAATAATTAATTATTTTATTTTTTTAATTGGAATAAATCGGGAATGATCAAATCGGTTACATAGCTAAGATTAATTGATAGATTTTATTTTATTACTTGTGTTCTTTGAACTATTCTAGATAGCGCTTTAGTGGTAGGTACTTGTCCTATTACCGAAACAAACACATCTTTCAGATTTTCACTGGTAATATTTCATATATTGCAGTTTATTTTATAAAACTAATCACCTTTAAAGTTTATTTTATTAACTTTTATATTTATATATATATATATATGTCGCATCCACTTTGTGTAATCGTAATTTTCATGAAATGGATATCCATTTCATGAACTTCAATCATATCGTGTAGGTCGTTTTTAGGTTCATGAAATGGACATTTATTTTATCCGTTTCGTGAAATGGAAACCCGTATTTTACACTTGATGTAATTTATTTAATTTTTACACGAAATGGATAACTTTTTGTGAAATCGACTTTTCATCGAAATATAATGTTTAATTGGTTTGATTATTGGGAATATGACAAAATCTAATGTAATTATATTTCTATATTTAAAAAAAATTCATATCATATGATTTTATAATTATATTATTGAAATACTTTATTTTAAAAATTACAAATTTTAAATCAATTTAATAAAATTTAAAAAAAAATTTAATAAACAAATGGGTACAAAGCCAATTTACAGATAATCAAATACAAATAATTACAATACAGATCTTTAAAAATTTTTTACTATTTATTGTTACAATTAGTAGTATTATGACAACGACTATTACACTTAATAGCAGCTTTGTGGCAAGTACATCTATTCGTTTGACATTGGCCTTTACAAACACAACTAGAAAATCCTTGTCCCTTTGAAATATAAGCGACTGTTTCACGTAAAGTTATGACTCTATCATAATTAACATCATCAGTTTTCAAAAAATTTGATGATGCAGGCTTTACATTTGCAGAACTATGCCATCCTTTTATTAGCCCATACTTAGTTCCAAGTTGGTGAAGCCCATGTTTATTTTGATTTGTAATTACTGCAATTACATTGGCTGAATCTGATGGTCCTCGGTCTATTTTAGGTACACTTATCAAAACACAATCACCAATTTTAAAATCAGGAACTTTAGCATTGCTAACCTGTAAATAAAAATTATTAATTTACTGAACATTTTTAAAAAAAATTTAATGATAATTATAAGATAATACCTTCAACATTTTTTCAGCAGCATTTTCTTGTTCTTGATTCCCAAGCACACGTTGTTTTCTAATTTTTTCACCGGTTTCGCATGGATCACAAATGATAGCTCCCGCAAAATCAACTTCAATTTGCATTTCTATATTACAAATACTACAATGTGAAGTAATTTCTTCATTGTTATTTTGAATTTCAATTTTGTTTAAAATTTCTTCAAGATGCTCTTCAGTATTCATTTTTTGTATTATATCTAATGGAAGATTTGATGATGACAAACCAATTTTTGGATCACAACCAAAAAGAGCTTTATACGGAGAGCGTCCAATAATTCGGTGAAAAGAGGAATTTTTTTGAAATTGTACAAACTGTAATCCAATGGACCATTTTTTTTGATTGATTGTCTTTCATCCAAGCACGAATCATATTTTCGATATCTTGATTACTTCTCTCGACACTTCCCTGAGTTTGGGGATGACGAGGGCGACCGTGGACTATAACACATTGTGGCCACATATCCTTTAATTCATGAATAACACAATTTACAAATTCACGTCCATTATCACTTTGAAGTATTTTAGGGGCACCAAATGTAAGAAAAATATCAAGTAATTTACTTACCACTTCTAGAGCCTTTTTGCTTTCAAGTGGACGCAACAGTAAAAACTTTGTGCTGTGATCCTGATAATTCATGATCCATTTATATTTACCATCAGGTGTTGATTGAAAATCTACTAAATCAACTTGGGCCCTTTCATTAAAATCTTTGGTAATAATTGGTTTTATGACTAGCCTGCGATTTGCTCCTTGCTTGGAATTACACATAAAAAATACTGATAAAAACTTTTCTATTGCTGGTCTTGGAATTTTGTATTTATTGCCCATTGCTACACGTAATTTGATATTTCCACCATGTCCTGTTGCTATGTGAGAATGTAAGTTAATACGTTCATATAATTCTTCGTAAAGTACAACATACCTATGTAAAAAAATCAATTCATTAATAAAATTAGTGAAAAAATAAATATGGTGCCAGAGAGGAGGGTTACTAAATTTAGATAATTTAGAATAGCCTCGTGACGACTATTTTTTATTTTATATTATCGTAACGTAATTGCGTACCTAACTTAATTGCCTATTTTACACGTGGTAAAATTTGCTCGCGTTACCCAATTTCCATTTTTTTATGTTTGATTTAATCCCCTTGGCCTCGTACGAGGCCATGCATTTTAACAATTCGTATCAAAGGTAAAAAATTAATTTCCTAAGAACTGCCATAAAAAATTTTGTGATTTAGCGATAGAAGAAATATTTTAGAATTTTGTGTTTAAATTTTTTTGTGAAACACATGAAATTAGGATGGTTTTTTCAATAATAAGTAACTATCTAATAATGCGCATGCGATAATATACTGTATAAGAAAAAAAAGTGTTGTGTAGGCGCGGCAAGTGCCAAACAATTTTAGAGGGCTAGCTTGTTCGCCTTAATAATAAAAATTAGACTAGACTTAGTAATTGGTGCCTTGCTAATGGTCTTAAGTTAAATACAGCTAAATGTTTTAAAATGTCATTTTTTCGTACTATTTCAAAAATAAATTCTGACTATCATATTAATAATGTAAAACTTGTTGAAATTGATACTTATCAGGACCTGGGGGTTGTATTCCAGCCTAACTTATTGTTTTCTTCTAATATCGAATATCTATGCTCAAAAGCACTTAGAAGCCTTGGTTTTCTAATTCGTAATACAAAAGAATTCAATAACGAAACTTGTCTTAAAATTTTATATACCTCACTAGTTAGACCCATTCTTGAATTCTCCTCAGTTCTTTGGAATCCTGCGCAAGTTGGACTTGTTGAATCACTTGAACGTGTTCAAAGAAAGTTCTTACGTTTTGTTGGATATAAGAGGAAATTAAATGGTCACTTAAATCCATCAGTTGCTATGTCGCTATCGTCAATTCAAGCCAGTATTAACTTAGAATCCCTTGCTACTAGACGTAAATCTATAGATATTCGCTTTATGATTAAATTAATAAATGGAGTTATATCCTGTCCGGATTTATTGAATTCTTTAAATTTTAATGTTCCCAAATATAACTCGCGACACCGTCCCACATTTTCAATCCCATTCCACCGTACTTCATATGGCTATAATAATCCCCTTGATCGTATTGCTCGAGAGTGCAATGAGTTGAACAATTTTGATTTGTTTCATTCACTAGATTTTCAGCCATTAAGCAAAGTCTCCTAAAATGTTTTCGATATTTGTTTACTATTGTCCTTTATATTAATGTAATATTATTATTGTTATATACCTACTATTAATACTACTATTAAAAATTTATATGTATCTTGTATCTACGCTACCATTTCTGTTAAATAATTAATTTGTATTGTAAATTACCAAACTGTACTTGAGCCTCACAGGCGTTTATGTCAAAAAAAAAAAAAAAAAAAAAAAAATCAAGGACTGGTAAAATAAAATAAAAATAGTATAAATAAATAAAGATTGGTAGTGGACTGTATATAAAAGAATAATAATAATAATAATAACAAATGCGTGGAATAACGATTAAATTGGCATGCTATGATAACGGTGCGATTACACAACTGTTAAGTCACGCATGGAGGTACACCTCAAAGCCAAACAACTGCAGCTATGCATTGCACCGCTATGCATCACACTAATTAACATAAACAGATAACATAATATAAACTGTACACACGGCTCAAACATGTTGAACTAAAAAAAAAAAAAATTCAGGACTTAAAGGATTTAAGTATAAATAGGTGGTTTTATGTATATAAAAGTCTATAAAAGTATCAAAATAAATCAAATTAATACAATTTTTAAATACTTGATATCATCACCTTCAGTTTTTTTAAAAACTAAATACTTTTTGTCTGTTACGCATAATACATCATATTGCTTCAATAGATAATACTCTCTTCTAGATTTTTTACCACTACAAAGAAAACATTTGAAATTAAAATTAGAAAATAGTTAAAATGAATTTTTCAATAACCACACTGTATAATCAATTATTTTAACTTATACTTACATTTTCGTTTTAGCTGCTAAAATTTCATTGATTATTACTTCCACTTCATTTTTAGTTGGTGGTTTTTTTCCTGGCTTTTCAATGTAGTATGCATCTAGTTTTTTATAAAACTCGGAAAATGCATTCATTTTGTATAATAATGAATATGAAATATTGTACTGGACGGCGGAGGTTCGTATAGTTGTGATAGGAAACGTGCAGCTGGTAGAGTGGCATAACTAGCTTTAGTGCATTATCCAAAATTAATTACACTACCTACATACAATGAAGAACTTAATCTGGGCTGTATCGTGTTTATGAGCTGATAATGTTTATACAAACGTGATTATTACAGTTGATACGGGTATATAGTACTAAATTGACATAGGTATATTAAGCTTTTAAGTATAAACTGTAGAAAGATTAAGTATAATTTCCTCGACAATGATATTCTGTATATTTCGATGAAATGTCGATTTCATAAAAAGTTATCCATTTCGTGTGAAAATTAAATAAATTACATCAAGTGTAAAATACGGGTTTCCATTTCACAAAATAGATAAAATAAATGTCCATTTCATGAACCTAAAAACGACCTACACGATATGATCGAAGTTCATGAAATGGATATCCATTTACGATTACACAAAGTGGATGCGACATATACATTATATTATAAATTGCAATTACATTATAGTAATAATAAAAAACACAAAAACTTATGCTAGATTCAAACTAGACTCCATAAAAACTAATGTGGCGCTTATCCACAACGTTACTATAGTGTTTTGGTACTTAATGCTCTAAGTCTTTGTCTAAGAATGAAATTATTATAGCAATAAATACCGCATGATTATATTATAATTAATAATAACATTATACATTCAAATTTAATAATGTTATAGAAATTTGTACAATTATAATTACTTTTAATATTAAAAATAATTTAAATCCTGATTCACTGCCTGTTATAATGTAACATTAGCTTTTACAAGAAAATGTATTATACTCCATGCAACGCCACACAATTTATCATCGTATTTTTGATTTATGTTTAATAAATATCTATTAAATTATAAAATTGGTTTGATTTTTTGACTAATAATAAATATGAGTGTTATATTTAATTTAAAAAAATAAAAAGTTGAAAAAAGAGTTAATAAAACTGTGCAAGTGTTAATACAACACGACAACCAGAAAACTGATTATCAAACAAAGGTAATCTTTTTTACGGGGTATTTTGATAACGGTTATTTTGATATCGGGTTATTGTCTACCCGATCATATATCACCGAATATTATTTATCGGATCAAATGACGTGTCACGGAAAAAACGTTCTCAGATTATAGGATATATATTCAACGTACTTAAATAGAAAACCAATTTTTATCAAAATAAATAATTTATTAAAAAATATTATCTTCTCATCACACACTAAACATACACTTGGTCAGGTACCCAAGCCATTTTTTAAAAATATGTAATATATGCATTTTCATTAAAATTTATAGAATTGCATCTTAAGAAAATGACACTACGTTCGATTCTACAGTTCTTACACAAGCATAACCTAATATCCTCGTATTCTCGTTCATCCACCACAATATCTTAATAAAAGTCGAAATATCTAATATATAAAATTAATGTCATCCTTTTGAAATAAAATTGTTTGAAAAAGTCTAAAGAAATTCAATATCTTACGAAGGCTTTAGCCTAAAGGGCTTGACTTTTACTAAAAGTATTCGCATGCGTAATTTCTCCACACGAGACAAAAAATGTAATACCATTGTGTGTTATAATTTTTTTTTTTTTTTTATGAAACTACAAGCAAAACGTATATAAAATAGATTACGATCAAAATATATTTAAACGAATGAAAAAACTTGAAATATTATCACAATATTTCTGAAAAAAAATGACAAAATTTAATCTTTCTGTTTCAATGCACTTAATTTTCTACTTTTAACACAGTTTTTAATTTGAGTTATTTTTTACGTCGTTTTTTTCATTGAGATCTACATTATAATTTATGCGTGGGCAACGAGTGAATGAGTGTACAACAAAAAATGCTTTGAACTTATCAAAATAAAATATTGCTCTTAATAGTTGACTGAATATAGTCAATTCAGGTTGTGCAACAATCTACTGTAATTATCGTTAACGAAGTAAATAATTCAATTAAAACGCAATATCTAAAAATTACTAATTACCAAGTATCTTATTGTTTCGAGATTATTGTTCGAGTTTAAATATTTAGATTTTTAAATTTTAAACCCCTTTTGTTTGGAATCGACAAAAATATTCCCTTTACACCTAATATGCCTGTATAATGACTAAATAATGTGTTCAAGATTAATGTCAAAACAATAATTCACTCAATATTAAAATAAATAAACAATCATTCGTCTAAATTGTTAGTTTCCGTAAAGTATGGAAAGGTATTGTACTGAGGTGAAGTAGTTCGACCACTATAATCGATAATTCCGTTTTTATTCGGCCGCTAAACGATGATCATCGTCTGTTACATAAATAAATGGTTACAATTACCGAACGATTCTGCTATTTTATGCATCAAAAATGTAAGACTTATTAATTTCCCTAACCAACGACGCCGTGAACCAATTCGATTGATAGCCTCACTTCAAATGAATAATACCAACGGTGGAATTTCAATGTTTCACACCCAAAAAACTCCATACAATAAAAATGAAAAAATTGCTTTTTCTCTACTGCACATTTTTCAAAGCTCCAAAATATATGTACTAGATCAGCAAATATTCAAATTAGTGATTTAAAAATTAAAACAATAAGTTAATGGTTTATAAAATAATTATAAATACCTACATAATAATTTATCTAACTTTATATAATGCTATTATAAACGTATATATAAACGTAGGAACCAATATTTTATATAATTCATAAATACTAGGCGTTAAAATAATTATAAATTTTAATAAAATATATATAATGGTCAATTTTGGCTCACAATAATAAATAACGATCAAATTATTATAATTTACATACATATTCGTTTCTCAGATATTATATTATACTTAAGTCATGTATCAACTAAATATGTGTGATTAGCAAAAACCGTAATAAAAATATTATTCATATTCGTAAATACTATAAATTCGAAAAAATTATCATTCAATTATAATTCCATTTTAACGATTAAACACTATGTATTTTTTAATCCGATATCGACATTAATAGCGAATCATTATAAAATGCTAATAACTATATAAAAAATATTTTACCTTCAGTAGCGTACTCAAGATTTTAGTTCGGTTAAAGTTTTTACCATCAATTGATTAGAGACCCGTATAGGACCGCTCTATAGCTGAACTAGTCAATATAGCCAAATTTAAGGGAGGATTAAAACTCTTGAAGACTATCCCTGAGTACGCTACTGTACCTAATAGAAAAACAACAAAAGTATTTGATTGATAAAAATTCAAAATGAATTTGTCGGTTGAAATGTACTTTACTGATCACAGTTTTAGAGATGAATAAAATACGTCTGGCAGTTATAAATTAAAATTTTAAATTAAGATAAAAAATGTTTTTTTTTTAATTTTTCATTAAAAATTTAAGTGTTAATTTGCAAATTTACTCAATTACTCAAAAAGTTTATTTTTTTCTCAGTTAATACAATATTTAATAAACAGTTCAATTAAAAATTCGACATTTAATTAAATATTTTTTTATTTTATTAAGATTTAATAAAAAAAGTAATAAATAATTAAATATGATAAATTGAAACACTTAAGTTAATCAAAACATTTAAAAAAAAATAACTTCTTAAACAACCCAGGAGCTAATAAAAAAATAATAATTCGAAACAATTGTTTTTTCTACATCAATTTTTTTTTTTTTTTATTTATTGTAATTAATATGTTTCAGCATAATAACATGTTATTACAAGTTAGTTTACATATAAGTTACATAACAATTTTTTATTTAAATAGTTATTGATCTTCGTTTTCGCTTGAATCTGAAAGAAGGAGATCTTGCGGTAAACGTAGTTTTAGTCGTCAATTTTTTTGTTTTTTTTTTTCCCCAGGTTGTAGAATCGTGCGCCTTTGGATAAATTCAGATTTGCGTGAAAGTTTTTAAACTGGATTGTTATCCAGTCTCGGAGTAGAAGAATTCCAGTATTGTTATGTATTTGTCTGTTCCTCATAAACCAAGGGGCCTTAAGACAATTATTAGACAAATTCTTAAAAAATTGTTTTGAAGTGTTTGTATTTTATTGATTTTAGTAGAAGAAACTGTTACCCAGATTGGGCAGGCGTAGGTAATTAAAGACCGGATTATTGATGTGTATAGTAAGATGGACGATTTCATTTGAAGGGATGATTTGAAGTTAACTAAGGGGTATAGAGTGTTCATTCTAGCATAGCCTTGGGTGAGTTTTTTATTAATATGAATTTTTCAAATAAGTTTTTCGTCTAAAAACACTCCAAGGTACTTGACAGAGTTATCTTTATTGTTCCATTGTATTGGTTGGTTATCGATGTGAATAGGTTGGGAATCTTTGTAACGTTTTAAGTTAAATATTTTTGCCGCCCTTTTTGTTGGATTAAGGTTTAGCTTCCATTTTTTGAACCAGGTAGTCACTGTATTTAGAGCTATTTGGAGATTTTGAATTGAGGATTCTAGGGAGTTGCTTTGGGTTATTACTGTTGTGTCATCCGCGAACATTGCCAGCTGGGAGTTTACATCAATTTTAAACTTAACGATTTGAATTTATAATTATTGTTATTATTATTATTATTTTTTTTTTAATTATTTACTTGTTAAATTAATCTTATAATGTTTTTATATCGAATTAAATCGACTAATTTTTTCTACTATATTTTTCATTCACTTACTCACCTATCTATAATAAAACGAATACCTAACAAAGAAGTAAAAAAATGTATATTATCTATATTGCACCTGATAAGTTCAAAAATTCATAATCGAGAAAACTATAAATAATATATAATTTAGTAGGTATTTGATTATAAATTATATAAAATCAATCATATATAATAATAATTTAAAAAAAAAAAAAGACCAACAATCAATGGATGTTGTGGTCACCAAAAGTTTGGAGCCTGGAGCAAAATAGACCCGATGCCCCCTCACCTCTCGACAGGCCTGGGTAGGTACGCATTAAGCATTATTATTTAATGTGACTTAATAAGTGGAGGAAACTTATAAAAATATGGTATATTTTAACAGAAAATATACCGCACGTCATGTAAAAAAGCGATTTTTTTTTTTTTTACAAAATAATCCAAGATTTTATAATATAATCGCAGTTTCTATGTCCAAAACGAATCACGTAGATTTAAAAATTTTCAAAATAAAATTTTCATATCTTCATATCACATCTGTATAATTCAGTCAAGTCTTAAGTGACGATAACTCAAATCTAAACTAAAATGTATTATATACGAAAATGAGATCGAAAATTCAAGGTATTTAGATAAATTTTAAATAAAACACATTTCAAAGAGCTTATATAGTAATTTCAACCTATTCATTATTATATCATGGTGTACGAGGATAAGATCTTTTCTTTATCAGAGTCATATTTTTATAGTAGATACTTACCTTTTCACAGATTTTAAATTCCCTGCGGCAAAACGAGGAATATAATATTGATTTTCCAATGATATTGTACCTTTTTAAGTACTCATAAATCGTTTAGCTATCAAAAAAATAGATGCACTAACAAACGTAGAAAGTCAATTTAAAATTTAATTTACAAAAATAATCAAAATCAAAGTTTCGATTTAATTCTTAATTTTCCGATGCCCGCAGTAACTCTGTAGCAAACGACATG